CGGTGAGGACCTCAACTCTAGTGCCAACTCCACAATCCTTGGAGAACTTGCGGCCTTTGTCAAGCAGTTGGCAATTCCCTGGATTGCAGTTGGGGATTACCAAGTGCCGCCTGAACAATGGGACGGTCATAACCTGCTGAACGTCCTTAAAGCGGACCTGGTCTGCAGTGGTCAACCCACCATGGTCACTGGAGCTGAACTGGACTACCTCATTGCGTGCCGCACAGTGGCTCCCTTCATTGATTTGAAGGTGACTTGGGATGTCCCATGGAAGCCCCATGCGGGATTGGTCATCAAAGTGGACCAGGAGGCGCCCAGATTGGTTCTGCCACAGCTGACTCAATACCCGGCGGTCCCGAAGCTGGATGATCAAGTCAGCTCTTGGGAAGAGTTTCAGCCAGCACCAAAGCCATACTGGCTTGGCAGGCCAATTGGTCCCAAAGAGATTGTCTTTGCCGAGTGGTGCCATCAGGCTGAGCAGTTCAACCTTCAGCGGCTGCATGAGCCGAAGCAGGGCAGAGGATGGTACCTTGCACTGGAGCATAAACCCTTGCCTTTGTCCAAGCCACTCACACCATGGAAGAAAGGGGACCTGGCCTACTGGGGGCAATTTTGCTCTCTGTTGCAGCACATTGCCAGCAAGCCCTATATGTCTGCAGGCACCATGAATCATTTGAGGGCCAAGACAGCTGACCTGCACATGCGATGGCAAAACGTCCATGGACTGGAAGATTTCACAGCAGGTGTAGAGATGCTCATTGCTGGAGAATCCACCCCGCTGACTCTGCTCATCCAAGGTGCGGAGTGCAACAAGGAGTTTGCAAAGAAGCTGGCTTTGGAGCAGCAAGCAGGAGAGTATCAACAATGGTTGTCCCAAGCCAAACTGAAAGGACACAGTGGCATCTACAAGTGTCTGAAGGCGCCTGACTGTGTCCATGTGAGGCCCTTTCGGGATGTGCCCTTACAACAGCGGCAAACCTTGAGAGAGCAGCAATGGTACAGCAAGTGGCAAGTCATTGATGGCCCAAAGACTAGTGGTGAAAGGGAGCGACTTCGCTATGAGGGCATTGTTCAGGCCAGAAGTTGGGAAGATCTGGACCCACATGTGGTGATGAAGAAGCTGCGGAAGTTGCCCCAAAAGGCGTGTGGGCCGGATGGCATCAGCTATGCCATGCTTAAGAACCTGCCGATAGAAGGTGTCATCGAGATGTGCCACATGATGCGGAAGTGGGAGCTCTCTGGCCGGCTGCCAGACCAAGTGGTCACCACTTTGGTGCTACTACTTCCAAAAAAGGCAGACATAGAGCGTCCAATCTCGCTTACCAGCGTGATGTACCGGACTTGGTGTCGGCTCAGATGGGACAAGATCAGAGAGTGGCAATCGACCATTGGCCAACGGCTCCCATGGGAGCGAAGCCTCCCGGGTCAGCAAGTCCTGCAGGTTGCCCTCATGAGGCTGCTGAAATGTGAAGTCGGCCGAGCTACTGGTCGCCAAGTCATCTCGCTGCTTTTGGACCTGCAAAACTTCTATGATGCAGTGCATTTGGAGCAACTCTTGGAGTTATGGGAGCCTCTCCAGTTTCCGCCCGCCGTGATGAACATGATCTTTGAAGTCTACACCGGGCCGAGATTGCTCCAAGCTGAAGGTGTGACATCCTCTGCAGTTCACTGTGCGAAAGGAATGTTGGCTGGTTGCCCGGCGGCTCCTTTAGTCGCTAAGCTGGTCCTTGCTCCTGTCCTGCAGACTTTTCAGGAGAAGTTTCCCAAGGTCTCGGTTGACGTTTGGGTGGACGACATCTCCATGGATTTCATTGGAGAAGATGCCTACAGTGTTTGTCAACAAGCGCTGGCAGGATATGATGAGATCAAGTATGGACTGGAGACAGTTGGCCTACAGCTCTCGCCTAGCAAGACAGGGTACTTGACGTCCACTGCTGAAGCCAAGAGGTCCATCAATCTCCACCGCAATGACCAGCAACCAAAGGCGCACGACCTCCTGAAGGATTTAGGCCTGGACTCCAGTGGTGGCCGGCGTCGTCGCATTGGCAGCCAACAGAAAAGGCTTTTGAAAGGCAGTGGACGACAGGCTAAGCTTCTCCATCTGAAGCTGAAGTCCCGTCCGGTGCGCATCAGGGTGTGGAAGACTTCAATCCACTCTGCTGTTGGATTTGGGGTGGAAGCTCAAGGCATGGCGCCCCAGCGGATGCGTACCCTGCGGCAGCAGCTGGCTCGTCATGGAGGGATGCAGAAGAAAGGAAGCATCGACATTGTGTTTGATCAACACAGACAGCTTCAGGACCCTCAAGACACGGCGGTGGAGCGGCAACTCAAGGCCATGCATCAACTTGTCCGAGCATGGCCAGCAGGCCAGAAGGGAGAGCTCATGTCTGCTTGGCGGATTTCGTGGAGGAGGCTTCAGACAGCGGCCCACCCATGGATGATAGTGGCAGGACCCATGGCTGCTTTGCAGGTCTACCTCATGGAGATGGGCTGGGATGCCTCGGTGCTGGATGACTGGATCAGGCCGGCCAAGGGACTGCTCCCTGCAAATCAGCTCAGTCTGGATTTTCCATGGCTGTACCTGCAACGCAAGCTGCAGCAGGAACAAAAGCATCAGCGTGCCCGGCGGATCCAGGAGCTGGAGCATTGTTTCCCCCTCATGAAGCAGCCTGATTGGACAGTGTACCATCGTGTCATCAAAAAGCTCAAAGGGCCGGCAAGAGCAGCGTTGGATGCCTGGACGCAGGGTTCCCTGCGCACACATGCTGCTGGAGAACGTGTCCTGTGCCCACTTTGTCAAGTCCCTGTTTCCATGAAACACTTGGTGTGGCAATGCAAGTACCATGAACAGGACCTTCCGAAGGAATGGCAAGACAGCATCAATGCCAATGAAGATCAGATGCTGTGGGCCCGTGGGCTCATTGAAGAGCCTCACTATGCTCCGGCTGAAGGGGTGGATTCATGTGAAGTTGCCGGCCTCCTGGCAACTGGTTGGCCCATCCGGCTCACTCCTTCGCACAGGGTGGCCATTGGTGTGAAAGCCACTTGTCAAGACCCGCGGCTCAAGCAGATTGTCGTGGCGCTGACAGTTGGAACATGGCAAGAAGGGTCATGGCAGATAGCTGGCACGTGCACTGCAGTTACGCCTGGCCAGGCCAGTGAGGCCCGCGGGTGGATCTTTGGATGCTGGCTCCTGCTTCAGGCTGTTCTTGGCCGCCACCAGCTGAACATTCCCCATCGTCCTGGTTGGGCAGCGCTTCAGAAAGGAGGAGGGAGCAAAGTGGCGCCGGATCTGTGGTACAATCTTCCAGAAGATGAATGGAAGAGGTTGCAACTGCTGAATGTGCCACCGAAGCTGCTGAAGGAGGAGGGCAAGACCTCGAGAGGTTGGGTCCAGTTTGCTGAGGCAAAGCAAGTGGCAATGCAGCGAGCCCTGAAGGAAGCACCTTCTTCACTTGAAATGGAGCTGAAGGCTGCGGACCTGAAGCACCAGGCCATCTATGAGGTCGCAGCTGCTAGAATCAGCACCATCCTGGCTGATCGGGACCACTACATGCATGGGGAGTTGGAAAAGGTGGAGCATGCAGTTCGTGTGCCAATGCCCAAACCCAAATTGGGCAGAGTTGCACTTTTCAGTCAGCTGGTGCAGCAAACCCCCAGTGAAGCACATCACAAGTGGCAGCACCAACGTCAGGGTGTGGTCTGTGAACGCTGCGGCAAGAGGATCAAGGCCTACAGCACTTTCGAAGAGATCAATCGGAAGCAGGCAACGGCATGCCCTGGTGCTGTGACCAAGACCCTCAAGCAAGTCATGACTGAGCTGATTCATGACACTGAAGGGAGGCTAGAAGAGCAGCCTGGTCACAAGTGGGAAATGACGGCCACTAGTTTTGGATGTGTTCGGTGCTGGAACAAGATTCCCCTTCGGAGCAGCAAGGCAGTCCTTGACCACTTGGCGGCATCTGATTGCAAGTATGGGCAGCTGGATGAACAAGGGCTGCAACTCCGGACTCGTGTGCACCCCTCTCATGCTGTGTGGAGGCGAGGCATCTGGCTCGAATGTCGGCAGTGCAAGCGGACTAGCAAAGAGCAAGATGGCAGAGTTCAACAGTGGTTGGCAAAGCATTGCATCACTGGAAAGGGCCAACAGACTTTACGCTTTGGCCCGAGCTCTAGTAGCTGAAGTCGTCCATTGCAGTGGACAGTACAGGCTGGTACAAGGAGAATGAGCCTTGCCAGCGATTGGCCATTTTTCCCTAGGTGGCATGGCCGTTGAGACTTGGCAGACACCAAAAAGGACCGAGAAAAAAAAAGAGAGACAGACAGACAAACAGACAGACAGACAAACAGAGAGAGAGAGAGAGAGAGAGCGGGGAACCAGCCCTGCACATACCCAAACCCAAATAGGCCGGCGCCCGGCTGTCAGGCGTAAGCCTCTTAAATAATACAATATATATATATAGATATATACAATTATAATACAATTATATACAGGGCTTGGGCTTGGGCTTGGCCAGACTCGATAGAACCAATGTGGGAACAATATCACATCCTACTGTGGTGAATGACCATGCACTATCGAGGATCGATGGCCTTCACATGCACACTCCATGGACTTTCCAGCTCGTAGATTTCATGAACATTCTTTGAACCGGATGACTGCTCGAAACCCACAAACTAATCCTGTGGTCAAACGTGGACAGGCATGTATGGCAACCCCCTTCAGCATGAGTTAAACACCTTGGCAGTGATAGTTCTTGCAATGCACGCTTGAGAGACAGTCGCTGGTTTCTGAGGCCAGCAGGTTTAATTCTGCACATGCGAGTTGGGTATTGAAAGCAGCATTGCAATCGTATTCGCACGTCACTATCACACTGTACGAGAAACAGTTTCAATACATTCGTTTCTAATGGTATCTCAACCAACTTCTTCTCACAAGAGATTCCAAGTGACTCAGACTAATTCCTTGATCCTACCAACACATTGTTGACATCCCTGTCCTCGCCGCCTCTTCAGCATAACGCCTCTTCAGCCGAAGACGTGACTGGTCCGGTGTCCCCTCTGAAGATGAACCAACAGCGCGGTCATCCCATATTTTGGGAAGCTCACATATCCAGTACATCTCCAAAATGAGTTCAGATTGGATGAGTTCCGGACTTATGTATTGTAGGCTTTCCCCAGAAATTGGTTCTCCAGGCTCTCCAATGCTGCTATCTTGTGAACAAAAAGTGCAACCAAACAATTGCCTGTGGGTAAAGCCACTACCCACGGGTTCAACTAACTCTTGGAACGAAAGCACACCCCTCAAAAAGCGTAGACCACAAGCCAACCATATTTCAATCCTACTATACTTTTGCCGGCAGAATCACATTGACCTGGAGCTACAAAGCCAATTTCAATCCTCTTTGGCTCACATCCACCTCTTGCAATGATTAATTACTAATTACCTACTAGCGATGGCCTCCAACCTACTAGCGATGGCCTCTCCCCCTGCTCTGCCTGACCCATCGCCGAGCCAAGCCGTCACAGCGCCGACGGGTGGCAACCATCTGGCACATCCCGTGCAGATACGCGACCAAGGGTCCAGTGAAGATGTGTCGATTCCTCACCTCTGTCACAGCTCTAAAATGGTTGGCTCCATGACTTGTGTCAAAACTCAGTGAGCTCTCTATGTGGCTGCACAATGTTGCACATGTCAGAATCATTTAAAACAAAAACAGATCCAAACAAAACGCTGGAAGATTGATCAATGTGTTTTATAACTTTCTTTCATCGGTCGATTCCGAGGGAACGTGACCGGGGCCCAACGCTGGAAATGCTGGTTTCCAGAAATGACACCCTGGCTGGTCTCATAGGCTTCTTAAGTTCAGTTCAACGGTGAAACGCCTTTTTGGCGGACGCTGCTTCTCAACGAACACCTTGCCCCGAAAACTGGTCGGGTTACACGAGCAACACACACACATGCAAACATTTGTAGAACGTCAAAACACTGTCTGGAACAAGAAACCAACCACTACAAAAAAATCATCTTCTCTCACTATCAGGCAGTAGGCAGTTTCAATCACTCCTTTGGCTCTAAAACTCCTGGCTAAATCAAGCCTTCCCTCCATAATTTTCTCTAAGGCATTCGGATTGCTGCTTAGCTCCCACCTCCTCCGCCAGATCTTCCAAGCCTTCCGCCACCTCTCGCCGCGCCTGGTGCGTGCTGGTGCGAGATTTGCACAGCTGGATCGGTTGAAGTCCTGATACTTGCATCTCTTTCTTTTCAATTCTTCCAGCGCCCTAGAAGAACTTAGATCTCCCAGCATCTCTTTCTTGGAATGCAACACATCCAGCCTGGCCGAAGAGAATGTAGGGGTCCTGCTAAGCGCGCTGCAAGCGGTTGTGCTTGGGTGTCAATCTTTCTGGACCTCCTCTGACCAACCTAAACCAGGAACTGCATCGATGCGAGGCAAAAAACGGAATTCTTCGTCTGTGGGAATTTTCGGCTTCGTCGGAACAAATGGTGGAATTCAAGAACGGTACTGATGGTTCAATAGGAATTCAACTGCCCTTGGATGTTCACATGATCAAATACATACAGTACCTTTTCACTCTGACTTAAACTTCCATGTGAACGTCCGAGAGTCCGTCGCTCTGAGAACGGCCCGGGCCGTTCAGAGCTGCGAGGGGAACGAAGCGATATCGCTAGAAGTTGTATGAAGCCCAAGATTACTATGTTCAAGGTTCCTATATATAAATCTCTTGAGCAAAGGACAGATGTGACAGACCTCTTCTCCCTTTTTCTGCATATATCCACGAAGCAAAGATATCCATGAAGCAAAGAAATCCCATTAAAACAAACTTAAACACACTTTAACAACAACAACAACAACAACAACAACGACGATCTTCAGTCTGACCTGACCCAGTCACAGCGAGTCCAGTCGGCTTTTTCACACCCGGTCCTCACGATGTGGACTCCTGGTGGCTGGATGTTGCGATCATCTCGAGACCGGAGACCGGAGACCGTCGGCCATGCCATGTGCTGAGACGTCCATCCGGTCGTCAGCACCGTACGCAGGTCGGAGTTGGATGGTTTTTGGAACAGAACACAGATCAAGGATGATCAATGTAATATGAAACCATGGCAAGATACAATGATGAGCTGCAGCTTCAATGAATACATCATGCTGACTTAAACAACCATCGTGTCCTCGTCCGCTGCCGCAGCTTCCGGAAGAGCCTCTGACAAAGATTTGAAAGCTTTGAAGCTGAGATGACATCACGGCAAGGGAAAGAACGAGCTTATAAACGAATGCTCAACACCTTACAGAGAAGGAACCAGTGTGACCACCCGTCCTTTTTTCGAGCTATATAGTTGTTCACATCACATCCATACCATGGAAGTGGACATTACCATGACCTTTGGGTGAGGAATTCAGATTTTAAACAGCTTTCTATGTGCCTCTCATCTAAGTATGAAGATCACATTCTGTACACCAGCTACATTTACTTGTTTCGTCATTTTGCGAAGATTTGCTCCGAACTGAGAAGCGTACGAGTATCTGCTTGGCCCTTTGGCTGGTCACCCTTCACTTCGCTGAAGTCTTCGATCCACATACCAGCCAAGTGGTAAACAAGCCACACAAATAGAGTGGGCCCAAATCACTTGCTTGACCGCCCAAGAGGGCCCCAAATGGCCCAAGGAATCTGCATGGTGGTTGAGGCTACCGTTTCCATCTCAATGGGAACATTGAACCTTGCCAGGCCAAATCTCCAGTGCTGGAGGCCTGCATTTCTCCCAATGATGCACCCCTTCCGTGCCTTTTGGACGCCTCCTTCAGCAGTTCGTGCTGCTCGGCCCAATGGCAGGCCCAAGCCTCACTTTCGAAACGAATCCCTCGGAGGCTTGGCAAGTGCTCTGAGTGCGCAGTACCATGCAGTACCCCATAGTGAATTGAGCTGTGGGTTTTCAGATGAAAGTTCGTTTGGGTGGACATCTGCCGTGTAGTGGAACCCCGTTGAGGCGTTTCAACGGGAGAAATGGATAAGGCCTACTGGTGCGAACTCTTTGTGACCCTGATTCAAGCTTCACCTCCTGTCGAAACCATAAAAGGGAGTGTGTCACAGTGTCTTCTCCATTTGCTGCGAACTCTTTTTCCTGCTTTCCTCCAATCAGCGTCGGAATGACCAAGAGCTGCGGGAAAATTAAGACCTCGAAGAACCACCAGGGGCCCAACCCCATCCATCGACGGAAGCGACGTGGGAAGCGGAAGCCCTGTTTAGAACCTATTCGGATTTTGACCATGCACCCCTCACAACGCCTCACAACGCCCCTTGAGCTAGCCAATGATCCGATCCGCTGTGGACAGGGAGAGAAACTGCAACCGGGACTGTAGAAGAGAAATCCTGAGCTTTCGGACTCTTGACCAAAACAACCTGTTTGCTTTGGGGAGAAGCAGAATAAGCTGTAGGTGGCACCCCCACTCCAGGTGCTGGATATCATGCCCAATCCGCCCCACCAATGGGATCAACTGAGGTCACAGGCCGGTGGCCACCTTGCCAAGTCCTCAAGTTGAGTCGAATTACAGTATGGTGTAACAGATTGGTCTGGACCAAGGCCATTTCGGCTTTCTGAACGAACGGTCCTAAGCTGGCCAAAAAAGGATCAAAAAGACTTCGCTGTTTTGGGTGGACCTTTTTAGGCTGTATCAGTCTGCCAGAGGTGAGCAAAAACAAGTGAGCCACAACAAAACCATTCCTTCTCTCCCTCTTTTCCTTCCCTTCGGTTCACTTCTTTTCGTCGATTCTGTTCTCTTCTTCTGATCCCTTCGCTTCTCTTCCCTCTTCCCGCTCAGGTTGTCGGTCCCATCTTCTCTTGCTACACTTCTTGGAAGATTCGTGTGCCAACTTATCCGGAATCGATCCAACTCAAGCATGGGCTAAATACATTCTTTGCCTTTGTACACATTCACGACTTAATTAATTACCATTTTTGCTCGATATCCTGGCTTCGAAAAGTGCGCTGCCTGGTCGCATCCCGCTCGCCGCTCTACTTTGGAGGCTTGCAAACGTCTCTCCTCACGCAAGGACATTGGCTTTGTAGAGGGCTGAGCCTCTATTGACGTCTAGTTACTTCAGTTGGCCAAATTGACTACTCCAAGTATCCTCTCAACTAGTCCCACATGGGTTAAACGTGGAAACAGGAGCAGAATCACAGCATAGGAGACAAAAGTGCAATGCACAACGAATTGCTGCCTTGGCGAGAATCCACAAACATCCACAAACGAACCCTTCATTGGTTGGGGTGAGCAAGCTCTAGTACTAGCTTTAGTATTTTCATCAAGAAGGGGTTCCCTTTTTCCAGGGCTCTGGAAAGCTTCTTTCAAGTCCTTTAGGTTTGAGCTGGTCTGAGTTTGGCGGGTGTGATGTTTGTCCGTTTCAAAAGCTGCAGCCCCGATCGAAAAGCTGCTGAAGGGCTGACTGGCAATTGTTTTTGGGTTTGATGGCGATTGCAGGATTTTGGGTGGACTATTCTGTCAAAGTCCTAATCTGATTGCAGGTGCGCGGGTGAAAACAGGAATATGAATGCTCTGCTACTGACTAGACCATAAAAGCAGAATCAACATGGGAGACATTCTGTCCTGGAGTCCTGGGCAGCCGTTAACCGTTATATAGTCCCACTGAGTTTCCAGTCAACCTTTCGGTACAAGACTTTCGTGCCTAAAGCGTGCCTCAACGGTGGAACTCCAAATCGTCCGATCCTCCAATGTGTTTTCTGATCCCCTCTATCTTCCCACCACTCCACCGGCTCCGCGACCTTCAAATGGTCCATCGCAGCGTCCAGGTTCTTCCTACCCAAATAGAGGAGCCAGGGAGCCACCAAAGGAACACCCCCAGTGCCGAGCTGTGTTTTTGGGGGCTGCAGCTTGGGCTTGATCCTCCTGCATGCACCTCAGGGACGGTTTTTGGATCTGTCCTGTCTCCCTCTCCTTGTGTCTACACTCATGAGCCCTAGAAGTTGGAAACGGGTTGACTTCTATGGTGTTTCAGATTGCGCTGCAACTGAAACATCTCAACTAGCTAGTTCATGCTAGCTGCTAGCTATGCGACATTCCCGCCCACGGGCGCTCTGCGCCCAGGGGTCGCCCTGACCAAACGGCGACACACCAACGGCTGTGGCCCATCATGGACTCCATGAGAGACACTCCCCATCTGAGGGTGAGTGGACATAGACCTTCAGAAGGCTTGGATTGGAAGACAGCTACTAGTTGGGTTTTCGGGCGCTATTTCTATTTTTAGGTGGAGGCCATCGCAAGTAGGTTGGAGGCCATCGCTACCAACGGAGCAAGAAGCTACGAACGGTTGGAGGCATAGATGGACCATGGATGACGATGGACCATGGATGGTTTTGAATCATGGATCGCTACATGGAGCTACAAATAGGAGCAAGGACGCTACTAGGGGCTCCTGGCCATACTAGTAGGAACAAGAAGCTACTACGGGCTCCTGGCCTTACTACTAGGAACAAGAAGCTACTAGGGGCTCCTGGCATCGCTACTAGGAGCAAAGAAGCTACTAGTAACAAATACTTTACCATCCTTGTGGATCCTTTGGATTTGACGCACGCCATAAGCACTCCACCACTCCACCACGCACCTGGAGCCCGGGGGCAGCCAGCACCGCAACCACTGCAGCCACCTGGCCACAAAGACACAGAATTTCTTGAGACCATGAACAATTAGTCCTTCTTGTGCTACAAACAAGTATGAATCAGTCAAAAGCCCAGGGAACCCTCCGACGGTCCATCTCCACGTGGGGAAGGGCAAATGGCGGCCCACACCAAGTCCAAATGATCCAGCCATACACTCTCGTGTCTGTTGCATAGCTCTTGATGTCGGCACCCATGTGCAAGCTGCGAAGAGCAGCTTGGAATGACTTTGGAACATCTCAAGACAGCAACGACCTGGGAGACAATCCGAGATATGAACATGGATCAATGTGACTGCTGTGCGGAGATGGTCATATGCCAGGCCGCACAAGACTTGAGGCACTCACAGACTCACAGTACATAGGAGTGTGCCAGGCATGACCATTCGTAGTGGAACACATCCAGCTCGGTTGGAGTATCAACCCTGCACTTTCATTCATCAGAAAAAACCACCTTCCCAATGTCTTGGTACTGGCACCTTCTCCCCACCCTTTCAGCAACCATCTCCCCACCCCGGCCTCATGAGGCCTCCCAAGGCCGCGGCCTGACATTTTCTTGGCTCCGAAGTGAGGCTTTGGGGCTCATGGATTTGCAGGAGTTTGCATGGATTTATCATGTTGACAGAGACCGATACAGTATAGCCAGACGGATTGATTTGAAAAATGCCGGGTGAGTTTGTGGCGCCTTTCCAAACTGAACCTTCCGTGTGGTCTTGGTGAACGGAGCTGGTCCCAAAAAGATCCAAAAACACCATGACTACTAATTGCAGCTCTTCGTCCAGATTCACAAGATCGTTCCAACTGGATTGGTTTGTTGTCCACGGAGCGTCGGCCCCAAGACTCTGGAACCCCCCCAAGCACACCCAGTACGTCCGCAGGCTCCGCCACTTTGGATGTTTAGCCTTTTGCTATCCTTTGCGTGCCTTTCTCCACGATCGTTGGCGGACGCATGGTTGTGGACTCTTTAGATCGTTCCCATCTACCTGGAAACCCAAACAACCAGAAAGAAATCGATGTTTCCCGAAGCAGCCACTTCCCACGTAAAGGATCTCAGCAAACCTTCGCCCTGTCACCCCGCCTCGTTGGAGACACTCACCATGTCTCCACGACGTAAGGCCAGCAAAGTCTGGCATGTCATTGTGAGTCATCAAAGACTTGGGAAGCTCTACCCAGCCAAAGCAAGGTCTTGTCTTTTTCCCGGGGTCCTCTCTTTAAAAAGCCTGGCCACAGTCCCCTGAGCCCTGTGTCCGGGTCTTGTCCTCCTCTTGTCCCCTCTTGTCCTCGCATTTGTCCTGCTGTCCTTTGGCCGCGCTGGCCAACCTTGTGTCTTCTTCTTGTCCTCCTGGCGCCTCCAATTAGTTTACTTTTTGGGGTTCTCTTACGAAAAAACACTGGCCACAGTCTCTGGCCGCGCCCGGTCAACCTTGCGTGCGGGTGTTGGCCTCCTGTTGCCCTCTTCTTGTCCAGCCGTGTGCCCCCTTCTTGTCCTCCTCTTGGTGCCAAAACAGTTTACGTTGTCATTGTCCAGTCCAGGCTTTGTCTGTTCTGTTGGCCGCGCCGCTTTGTCTGGGTTTGTGTGTCCTGCTTGTCCACGTTGTCGGCCCTTTTACCACAGCCTTGTCTGGGCCTTGTCCGCTGCTTGGCCACGCCGCTTTTTCTCAATTCACCGCCTTGTCCAGGTATGTTTTCATGTGGCTATGAATGCAACCGTGATGCAGTGTTTCAAATTTAATATCATCCTTGGATTTTCTCATGACATATGTATATATATATAGTTATTATATCAATTCGTTTTTCACTTGTGACTCAGGCACCAGGAACTGTTGTTTTCAAACATGTTTTGTTTACGTGCCGTTCCCAAAACAGCTGGAGGCTATAGGTATATACTTGCAGACATTCCCACCAACATTAGAATTAGAAATCAAGTACAGTAGTTGACTCAGTTGACGCTTAAACAGATTATTGCTGACAGTGTTTGGAGTGTTTGGGGGTCTATGCTGGTCTAATCAATCAATCTCTCTCTCTCTCTCCATATATATATATATACTGTATATATATATACACACACTGTACCCTCTGTATTGATGGGAAAAAAGCATGTTTTGGTTGGTTGGTACTCACAACAAAGGGTAAAACAACGCAAAGCCATCCCACGTCCCGTCTCAGCTCTTTTCAATAGGCCTAGCAGCGCTCTCATGACGACACCGGCTCTGTCAGCAGCCTCAACCAATCGGCCGTCTGCCCCTTTGTGCAGTCCCGCCTGGCGAGGTGCGACAGCCAAAGGCTTGCAGCATTGGACCCACGCGACACTCCCCCGATGGTAGGGTGCGTTTGTCCAGCTTCGCCGACCGACCTGAAATGACACAGCGGCATAGACCCTCAAACGGAAGCAACGACCTCAAACGGAAGCACTTCTTTTCCTCTTAGCCTAGCGAGCCCGAAGCCAAAACGGCCCTCACACATCACACAGGCAGACAAGTGGAGAGAAATGTAAGGAGACAAGTGGGGAGACAAGGCAGCAGCAGCACAGCAGCAAAACGGAATACAGGCACCCAGTCATTGAGAAGTAAGAACCCCTTTAGCTATCGCTATCTGGGGAATAATCATCCTCAACAGAAGCAACACGATCTAAGAATCTCACAGCGCATTTGTTCCTCACAGAGTCGCTGGACCCCCATAGGCAACCTAGATATCAAGTTCCGACCACCAGTGTTTTTTGATTCCTAACACCCCACGATTTGACATATTTTACACCTCAAAATCGCTTGCAGCTTGGACGCTGTTGCGTGGACCCCAACTGCTGCAGAGATCCCTGGCCAACGCTGCGTCTCCACCGCCGCCCGCCCGACCTCTTCCGCCGAGAGGGCGCAAACACGACACCTGCTTGGGAGTCCGAGGGGCACCACTGATTGTGACATCTTCCGTGGACTAGTCGTGATCCACATGATACATGTTACATGAAGTGCAGTGGATTGTCACTGTGTTTTTTTCAAAGAACTCCTTTCATCTCCTTTCTGAACTGTTCAGATCTTTGCCACCGGTCGAGTGAACTGTCACTGTGACTTTCCCTTTCGCACCTCCAGGCCTGGGTGCTTCTGACATACTCTCATCCCTGCTCTGTTGTGTTCTGGAGCCTCCATTAACATCACCAAAGTTCAATCCGAATCCTGTAAAACAACTCCTCCTTCTGAACACAGAAAGCGACCATTGAGCCGCTTTCTCTCTCTCTCTCTCCCTTCCTCGCTATAATAAATATGTATATATATATATATCTATATTGAAGGGCCTTTTGCATCAGATTTGACGCTCAACTCATGGACCACCAAGCCAGTTCTTTCACTATCTTTCACTCTCCAAGTGATTTGTAAACCCAAAACCGAAGTCGGCTGCTTGCTTCATCTGTCCTCCCATCTTCTCAGCCTCTTCAGCAACTTGATCGGCAAAGCATCTGCGTCCGCCAGAAGAACCTCCAGCACGATGGCATGTGCATACTCCTCTACAGGTCTGTCTATCCGTGATCTTCAACGGGCCAAGGCACGCAACTTAGTTGGCTAAGATAATCCCTTTGTGATATTTTGTGATGAGGTGCGGAATCCAAGACCGTGATTAAGGTCTGCTTCAAAGGACTTACAGTCATGAAGTTCTCTTTCAAGGTCGGCCACACTTGTAAGCGACCCTTTCTTGATGAATTGATGGACATTGAATGACATTGGAAAACCATCTGACGAATTGGTCGGGCCTGGAGACGCTTGCAAACGCTTGCCATGGCGACCCTTCAGACGCATCTTCAGATCAACTTCGGTGTTGCTTCGCCTCGGACAGCCGTGTTCCTCGCCGGCCTGCGAGGGTGAAGCTGTTGCTTCAGCTTCGCGATCCTCATCGTCCTGGTCGACCCGCTCCACCGACCGAGCGAAATCGGTCGAGGATCATGTCTAACAAGAACTTGGCCAAACACCGGCAAGCCAACAAATGAAGGCCTAACCTTGCACCTTTTGACTGGCCTTTGTTGAAAAGAAAGAGTCGGGTGTAAGAAACTGCCATGCCACTTGCAACTCACAAGTTGTTCCCAAATATTTCTCTTGCGGATGTCTAATGCAAAAACAAACACCAACTAGCAGTCCAGCTAGCGCTGACCTCCTCCAACGCATTCAGCAGCTGTTCTTTCAGCCGCTGGAGCGCATCGTCAACACACATCGAGACCACCTGCAGACTACGTCAATCTATGTAAAACAGCTCTGAGGGCACTGACCAGGTGAACCTTTGGAAGACAGAAGCAACGCGTTCTTCCGTGCTTGCTTTTGTGAGGATTTGTGCATACCCCAATCAGTCTCTGCATTGAACAGGGTATATATTATGGTATATATATATAATATACATGGTGTAAATAGCAAAGGGCTCCTGTCATCACAAAGCAAAACAGTAAACACATCACGAAAGCTGGCGCATGTCCCAATCCTGCCGCCGCAGGATTAGAACGGTCCGGTTTTCGAGCATTGCAGAAAAGAAGAGGAGCTACATTCCACACATTGCTTCATCCCAAAACCCATCTTTACACTTCATCCAGCTGTGGGGCAGAGCGGCTACTGCCTGATTCCAAACACATACGTCGCTCAAAGCCTCGACGTCCCCATCCTCCTGGCTGGGTTGGACACACACGGTGTTGATGGTAACACCGGCGTTGACGGCTTCTGTTCACATCCATTTAGTTCAACATGACCTTTGTAGAAACGGTCAACTTGGAGGTTGTTTCATCAACCCATCTTCTATCATCTTTTCATAATTTATCCATAGAGCAGCCACTTTCATTTTCGGCCCCTCTCGGCGGAAGAAA